TGGGGTCCACGGCAACAGAACCTATTCCTCCTCACTCCTCACAGCTCAGTGGATTGGACCAGGAAGTAGAGAAAGGGAAATGCTGGAGTTCACCTGGCCTTTTCCCTTTTCCCCTTTTAATTCAGACTCAGAGCCCAGGCCATAGATGTTGTTCATCCAGTAAAATGAGCAACAATCGAGGTTCAGAATCACCATGAGATAGAAAGTTCAAATACAAGATAAATTGTGTGTGTGTGTGTGTGTGTGTGCGTGTGTGGGTGTGTTTTGGTGTGTGTGTGTGTGTGTGTGTGTGTGTGTGTGTGTGTGTGTGTGTGTGTGTGTGTGTGTGTGTGTGTGGTGATAAATAGGATATGTGTGTATATGCATGTAGTGTGTATATAGTGTGCGAATATTTCTATGTGTGTGTGTCTCTGTGTGTATATATGTGTGTGTGCACCTGTGTGTCTGTGTACATTGTGTGTATGTGTGTGTACATTTGTGTGTCACATGCTTTTGTATCACATCCTAAAATATTTAAGTGAATTGCTTACTTTTATAGTTGCTATGTGAACTATTCCAGCAGAGATGAACAATACCATCAAATACCAAGAGACCAAAGAGATGATTCTACTCAAATCCAGCTTGGTGGACTAATGAGTTTGACTGTGGACATTTATAGGAACAAGGGTGAAAGGTCACTTACAGAAGCATAAACAACTTATGGGTAACTACACCGCAGAGGAAAAGTCTGCCCCTACCTAGGGCTGTTATCTACCCGGTCCTTGTTGAAGGCATGGCCTTGTAAGGCCCCTTATCCTGCTTGTGACCACTCATTCGCTGCCCTGTGAGCCTCCCTTTCCTGCAGGAGAGAATCTTACTGGGTCCAGTCTTACTAGGGATGTTGGTAGTCACAGATATTCTGACTTAGAAGGTAATAGTCATGCCATGTCCAGAGGACCGAGTTCTACAGCCAGCTCACCAAAAACAAAACAGCACTGCACGCACTCTCCCATCTTCAAGCTTCCCAGGACCTTGGCAGGAAGGAAAGCCAAGTGTTTCCCTTAACAGCTCCCTGATAAATGGCATCATTGAAACATCATTTCAGTAGGAGCATGTTCATGCGCAAGCACAGAATTCCCAATAATTGTCACCATTACAAAAACAGCAGCAACAAGTGTGACTCACATCCATGGTTTTCTTGAACTGTGAGTTCCTTTGTTTGTGGGCAGCATCCATTATAGTTTCTGTCTGTGAAGAGAATGCAAACACTGTCAATAAAAACTGCAAGTTCCTGCTAACAGCAACTTGTTTTGAGGGCTTAAGCATTCAACATGGGTAATCCAGTTTAGCCTTCGTATCACCCAGAAGCGAAATATGCTATCTACAGTCTCTTCGTCACAAATGGGGACAGTACACAACAGAGACTAAACTCCTTGCTCAAGAAGTCACAGGAAATTAGTGATGCTGCATCTTAATTAGCCAGGCACTCCCACGCAGGGTCCTGAATGCTCAAAACACCACCGAAGACTCACTAATCACATGGAGTGCTTTCTTCAGCAAACCTAGAATCAAGGACTTTGGTTTCAAGAAGGAATTTTAAATTTTATTAAAATACTATTTGTATTTTAAAAACAGCTTTATTCTGAAAGCTATGTCAGCACAGACAATTAGGAGCTCAACCTCCACATCTGTGGCCCATCAATGACAAACACTTTACAACAAGTCACCAGGGGAAGAAGGAGGTATCTGTGGCACCGCTAATGGAAACAATCCTCTGCCTCATCTAAGCCAGCAAGGTAAACTCCATGTAGTTCACCTGAGCATGGTTTCTTCATTGCAGTTGCGATGGTGGTACTTTTGTTGGCCAAAACAATGCTGCTCATAATAAATACCTACCTCTCAGACACAGTTTTTCTAGCTTCCATTCATCTATCACTTCTATATGAAGCATTCTGTGTAAGTACTACTTCGCCATTTTCCTGATGGCAATGAACTTTGTGAGCCCAAAGAAACAAAGTCAGTGTGGTGGTCTGGATGACAATGGCCCCCAGAGGTTCGTATATTTGAATGCTTGGACTCTAATTGGCGGAACTGTTTGGGAATAATTAGGAGGTGTGGCCTTGTTTAGATGTCTCAGTAGATAAGGGCACTTGCTGCCAAGCCTGATAATCCAATCCTCAAGACCCACACAGTGGGAGAAGAGAACCAACTCTTGCAAGTTGTCTTCTGATGTTCACATGTACACCATGGCATGTACATATATGCATGGACATGCTCATGCACTTACACATGTACACACGTACACACACACTCACACACACATGCACACACAGAGAAAAGAAAAATGAAACTTCAAAAAAGAAAACAGGACTAGAGTGATGACTCATCAATTAAGAGCACTTGTTGCTCCTGCAGAGGACCTGGGTTCAATTCCCAGCACCCACGTGGTGGCTCATAGCAGCTGCATCTCTTACTCAGGAGCATCTCTGACACTTCCTTCTAACTTCCACAAGCACCAGACACACACATGGTATGCAGACATAAGCAGACGAAACACTCATATATGCAAGATAAGGACTTGTTTGTTTTTTGGGACAGGGTCTCACTATGCAGCCTTGGCTTTCCTGGATCTTACTATGTAGATCAGGCTGGCCTTGAACTCACAGAGATCCACCTGCCTCAGCCTCCCAAGTGCTGGGATTAAAGATTTTTTTAATCTAAATTTAAAAAAAATAAAGTTATATAAAACATCCTATTAAAAATTTATTAGGCTTTTAAAACTAAATCAGTAAATTATATGAGGAGACACAGCTCTATACTGTATTTGCATAGCACAGCCAAGAACCTGGATTCAACCAGCAGCATAAGAGAAAAAGAAAGAGTGGAAAGAAAAGCAAACAACTGACTGGTTCTTTTGATGAGTGGAAACAGCTCGATTTCTAAGAAGTGGAAAGCCAAGGCATGCACTGTGACAATTTTAAAAAGGGAAGTTAACATTGACACATTTTCCCCTAAAAGTGTTCAAAAAAAAAAAAAGGTACCCAAAGCCACCCCAGAGTCCATTGTGAAATGCATAACTACAATTTTCTAAACTTTTCAACGTTTTGAAAGTGACTCCTGCTGAGAAGGGAACTTGAAGTGAGCGTGCAATGCTCTTCTGCGCCTCTCACTCCAACCACTTGGCATGTGTAACATTAGCGGGAAAGTTCCAGAAGCTGTGCAGAGCTAACAGCTCTCCCCACAAAGAACAGGGCTTCTGAAGACACCTGAGGATGTGAGGAAACTGCCCTTTATTAGTGGAGTCACATATGCATAGTTCATTGACAAAGGTATTATGCTTCTTTTATTTTTTAACTGTTCCACATAAGACACGATCTCTCCTTAACTTTTTAGTTATTCTTTCCTTCCCTTCTTTTTGAGACAAGGCTAAACTAAGTAACTCCCACTGGCCTAGAACACATTGTGTAAACCAGGCTTGGTCTTGAATTTGCAGAGACCTGCCTGCCTCTGCCTCCAGGGTGTTAAAGGTGTATGCCACCACACTCAGCTTGCATTTTTTCAAATTGTATATCTGTGCCTGTCTGTGTGTGCTCATGCAGTACCCATGGAGGCTGGAAGGATCTAATACTCCTGGAGCAGATTTCCAGATGGTCATCAGCCATCTAACATGAGTGCTGAGAATGGAACTTATATCTCCTGCAAGGACAGTACTCAACGGCTGAGCCATCTTTACAACCTCCAAGTTCCTTTGCTGTCATTTGGGTGGCACATGCCTTTGATCCTAGCACTCAGGAAGCAGAAGCAGGTGAATCTCTGTGAATTCCAGGCCAGCCTGGTCTATGTAGTGAATTCTAGAACAGCCGGGGCTATAGAGAGAGACTCTGTCTCAAGAGGGAGCAGGGGAGGGAGAGGAGAAGAGAGACAAAAACTGTCAGGACTGGAGAGATAACTCAGCAGTTGAGAGGACCCACATTTGGTTCCCAGCACCCATGTCAGGTGGCTCCCAAACTCCTGTAACTCCAGTTCCAGGGGATCCAGAGCATCCATGTGTACCCACACACGCATGCACAGACATGCATGCATACACACAAATTTAAAAATTAAAAAAAGAACCCTTTGTGGAACAGGTACATGGGAGCGGTCAGACGTGGGTAGTTAAGAGAGGCTGGAGAGAGAAGGGGGCTGATGCAATTTTATTTCAATTAAAAAAATAGGTAAGTAAGGGGCTGGAAAGATAGCTCAACAGTTAAGAGCATTGGCTGCTCTCCCAGAGGACTAGGGTTTAATTCCCAGAATCCACATGGCAACTTACAACTATCTATAGTTCCAGTTTCAGGTGATCTGACACCCTCACACAAGCGCACACATAGGCAAAACATCAATACACATTAAAAAAATAAAGTATTAAAACATAGATAATTAAAAGGTAACTTTTAAAAACCTGGTGTCAGGAACAGTGGTGCACACCTTTAATCCCAGCACTTGGGAGGCAGAGACAGGGTGATCTCCATTAAGTTATAGACCAGCCTAGAGTTATAGAGAATTACAGAACTACATAGGGAGACCCTGTCTCAAAAAAAAAAAAACTGTAATTTCCTCAAAGACATGGCAGACTTGGCAATGTCAGACAAAAGAATCTGCCATCCAACGAGTACAGCACACACAATAATTCTGCTTGGAAAAAGGCTTTGTGACAGATGCAACCTCAAGGGTTGAGAGAGCGTATGAAAGTGTTTGATACAGCGTTCCTTAACCATCTGCATCTGTCCTTCCTTCATGCTAAGAGGCATTGCACAAGCAACAGCTGAGAAATAGGAAGAGGCAGTGGTGTGCAGAGAGCAGCTCTTAAGCCTGGCGCAGCAGCACAAGTCTGCATCCTACTACTCAGCAGGTGGAGGCAGTAGGTTCAGCTATCCGGTGAGCTGGAGGCCAGCCTGGGCTCCATGAGACCATGTCTCAAACAAACAAAGGGAAAAGCAGCTGGTGAAATGATGGCGGATGTGAGACAGGGAGGTTCTTAAGATGCTGTGGGCAACCCGACACATTAGTGCCAACCCAGACTCCAACTTGAAACTGTAGGCAAAGTCGCTCATCCTGAGAGGTGAGGACACAATCAGCCTTAACACTGGCCATTGATTGGATGCACAGACTGTAAACACAACATCAGGTACAGTCAATTCCAAAGAGACCTCCAGGAAGAGTGGCTGGTCCCCAAATGTCCACAGAGACCTGAATAGAAGCCTTTGGTGTCAGCCTTCCAGTCCTGAAAGACATTCTTGAAGGGCTCTACTTGACTAAAGGATCAGCCTGCACATACAGGTTTTTCAGGAACAAAACAAAACAAAAAAAATAAACAGAATTTTGGCTGGAGTTATTTCTTTTTGTTGTTTTTTTTAAGATTTAATTTATTTATTATGTATACAACATTCTGCCTCCATGTATATCTGCACACCAGAAGAGGGCACCAGATCTCATAACAGATGGTTGTGAGCCACCATGTGGTTGCTGGGAATTGAACTCAGGACCTCTGGAAGAGCAGCCACTGCTCTTAACCTCTGAGCCATCTCTCCAGCCCCTGGAGTTATTTCTTGATTCTTCTAAATCCTCATACATTTACTACTTTTATCTTAATGACTCTCATTCACTCCCATCACCTTTCCTATAGGTGAAATAAATCCCATCAATGAAGAGAGTCTCATGGGGGCTGGAGAGATGCTAAGCAGTTAACAGCACTGGCTGCTCTCCCAGAAGACCTGGGTTCAGTTCCCAGTACCCACATGATGGCTCACAACAGTCTCTAACTCCAGTTCCAAGAGATCTGTTACCCTCTTGTGGCTCTGTAGGCACCAGGCACACATGTGGTACACACACATACATGTGGGCAAACATGCATACTCATAAAATGAAAATTAATATATCTTTAAATAAAAAGGAGTCCCTCCAGAGCTGCTTTGAAGACAAAACAACTTGAACTTCCCAGGGCCACAGTTTCTCTAGTTATAAAACAGAATTATGCCAGGCGTTGGTGGCGCACGCCTTTAATCCCAGCACTGGGGAGGCAGAAGTAGACAGATATCTGTGAGTTCAAGGCCAGCCTACAGCAAGTTCCAGCACAGCCTCCAAATCCACAGAGAAACCCTGTTTCAAAAAAACAAAAAAACAAAAAAAAAAAAACAGAATTATTCCATTATATTATGAACTTCAAGGAAATCATGAGTCTTCTCCGGGTCTTCATCCTTCCCCTACTGCCTTGCTTAGGAGGAGTGTGATCTGGAAGCTCACTAGCTAGAATGTGATAGATGCCATTGATGGGAGTAAAGAGATCTCCAGCCACAGTCCTGACAGGGGCAGCAGATCCGAAAAGATGAGACGTGCACAAACACAACCACTGAATCCCCTAAGAATTTTGCCCAGGTTCTTGGTGTCTAAAATCACAGCCTAATGCTGCAAATGGAAAGCATTTTATTAATTGAAGTATTTCTCCAGCACTCCTGCAAAGTTTTATTAAAAGGAAGACTGACGGAGAGTACAGGGCATACCTCCTATACATGGAGACTCCAATACATAATTTCTCAGCCACAAACAGGTTATGATTATATTGGGGGTGGGAACCAAGCTGTGCAGGGTTTTTGTTGTTGTTGTTTGAGACAGGGTCACACTATGTAGCTCTGGCTGCCTGGAAACTCACTCTGTAGACCAGTCTGGCCTCGAACTCAGAGTTCTGCCTGCCTCTGCCTCCCAAGTGCTGGGATTAAAACTGTGCACCACTATGCCCAGCCAATTGAACAATTTAGTAACAGGCATGCCTGAGATTTTTCCACAGAAGAAAGGTGATATTGCAACACATACACAAAACTAACCTTTTTCCTCTGTAGCTTTTGCTTTTCCCTGAATTCTTCCATCTTCCTGGCCTCTTCTCTGAGAGTATGTGCAAGCTGGATGTGACACTGGGCCACATTGTCTACCTCTGTGAAAAGAATTTGTAAATAAGACAAAGTCAAGGCCCACATGAGTCTAGATTCAAATATGCACAATGATTCAAAACTGTACATACAAATCTGGAGCAAGGAACAAAACTAAGAATAAGTCGTCACCAACACTCACTGAGGTCCTTCTTGTGCCCGACCAAGACCAAAGTTAAGTTTTTTGGTTTTTGGTTTTTGGTTTTTGGTTTTTTGGTTTTGGTTTTGTTTTTTGTTTTTTTTTGTTTTGTTTTGTTTTTTGAGATAGGGTTTCTCAGTGTAGCCCTGTCTATCCTGGACTTTGTAGACCAGGCTCTCTATAAACTCAAAGATCCTTCTGCCTCTGCCTTCCAAATGCTGAGATTAAAGGTGTTCACCACCACCACCCAGCTCAAACCTAAGTTTTTAGCTTAGCCTCGACTCTGTTACTAACCCAGTTGTATGCCCAGGGCTTTTGGGGAGAGGAGCAGCCTAGATTAACAGTCCTTACATCCTGAGATGGATGTTGGCTTTAATTGTCAACTTAGCACAACCTAGAATCACCTGGAAAGAAATTCTCAATGAGTGTTGGCCTGTGGGCGTGTCTGCCGGTGGTTGTCTTAAGTCAGTTGATGTGGGAATATCCAACCTACTGTGGGCAGCACAGTTCCCCAGTCAGGGGATCCTGAACTTTATAAAAGTGGAGAAATCAGGGGGCTGGAGAGATGTCTCAGAGGTTAAGAGCACTGACTGCTCTTCCAGAGGTCCTGAGTTCAATTCCCAGCAACCACATGGTGGCTAACAACCATCCGTTATGAGATCTGGTGCCCTCTTCTGGTGTGCAGAGATACATGGAAGCAGAATGTTGTATACATAATAAATAAAAATTTTAAAAAGAGAGGTAATTATTTAAAAAAAAAAAACAGTTAACTTGCTGAACAATAAAAGATGCTTTGCTTTAAAAAAAAAAAAAGTGGAGAAATCAGCTGAGCACAGGCAAGAAAACCAGTGAATATACATGTCATTATTCTCTGCCCTTGCCTGTGAGCATAATGCCTTGCCTTCCGTGATAGGCCCTGACTGGAATTATAAGATGAATAATTCTCCCTAACTCTTTTGTTAGAATATTTTGTCATAGCAAGAGAAATAGAACTAGGGTGCTACTGAGAGCATCACAATTTCAAATTTGATTCTTGGGGCTGGAGAGATGGCTTAGAGGTTAATGAAATAAAACTAAATTACATCCAGAACCCTTTACAAGTCATACTTGGGGCTGGAGAGATATGGCTTAACTGGCTGCTCTTCTAGAGGACCCTGGTTTAATTCTTATCACCCACATGGCAACTCATAACTGTGTGTAACTCCCAGTACAGGGATCCAACACGCTCACACAGACATACATGCAAGCAAAACACCAATGCACCTAAAAAATAAAAAGGAAATCACCAAATTTGATTCTCTACCTCTTTTCATGATCTCTGGGTGCTTTTTATCCCTGGCCTCTCATGAGTTTAAACATTTATCAAAAGTTTGTGCAACATTTTGGCCTCTGAAGTTTATTTATCTTTGTAACAGAAAGGAAAGAAAAAAATACAGTTGTGTTTTGCTCAAATTAGGCTGTGTATGATTTGAGTACACCATTAATCCCAGCCTTTGGGAGGCAGAGGCAGAAGTGAGGTCAGTTTTATCTACACAGTGAGTTCCAGGACAGCCAGGGCTATATAGAGAGAAACTGTCTCAAAAAAAGAAAAAGAAAGAAAGAAAGAAAGGAAGGAAGGAAGGAAGGAAGGAAGGAAGGAAGGAAGGAAGGAAGGAAGGAAGAAGAAATATGGCATTAAAGCTAGAAAGACTGACTTAATGAAAACATTAATTTTCTAAAAACCTTGTGTGTGTGTGTGTGTGTGTGTGTGTGTGTGTGTGTGTGTCAAGAACTCACATGTCACAGTACACGTGTAGACGTCAGAGAACACATATGAGTGGTAGTTCCCACCTTCCACCTTATTTGAGATAGGTTTTTCTTTTGATTTTGCCACTGTAGCCACCAAGCTATCTAGTCCATGAGCTTCTGAGAATTCTCCTGCTTCTGCCTGGGATTACAGACAGGTACTACCATATCTGGTTTTATGTGTGTTCCTGGGATATGAACTCAAGTCTTGACACTTGCATGACAAGTACCCACTAAGCCATCCCTCTAGCTCATGAAGAAAAGAATTTTAACTTGTACTGTTAAAATAACCTTGCTGGCTACTCTTCCAAAGGACCTAAGTTCACTAGAAATTGAACCCAGGTTCTCTGGAAAAGCAGTCAATGCTCTTAACCACTGAGCCATATCTCTCCAGCCCCAAGTATGACTTGTAAAGGGTTCTGGATGTAATTTAGTTTTATTTCATTATGTTAAGTTTAGACAAGCTAAATTTGAACACTATTGATTACCTGGTATACATTAAGACATCTAAGAACTTCCATTACTCTACTACTGTTTTATGAATACCCTATGCATCTAAAATCTTTTTTCATCAATTGGTTGGGCACAAATGGCTCTATATACCTTTTTGTTCAAAATAAGTGATTAGATTCCTTAAATGTTTCATATAATTATTTTACTGCTTTATGTTACCAGTAAAACTAGATTAAAATTTCAAACTTCAAAATAGCACTTTTACAAATAAAGTAATATATATAATGTATATATATATATACCATATTGAAAAATTACGTAATGTGAAATTGAAAAGAGTGAATAAAAAAGCTAATACATACTTGGAAACTACATTTGGACTTAAGGATACTGAAGAAAGCAGAACTTTAAACACAGTACATGTCATCATTTTTTACCTTTCAGTTTTATAAAAACTGTAAAAGCAAAGAAACTCTAGGTTACTAGTGACCAGTGAAAGAATGTCATTGTTGGTGGGGGAAAATAGCACTAACTTTGTGGAAAAAAATCTGGCATTTTGAAAGGTCAAAAATGTTTTTAACATAAAAGAATGAGGCAGAAGTCTATGAACTGAAATAGCTATTAAATAAACAAAAATTTCTAGAGAAATGTGATGGTGTATTCTTATATAAAAATACTCATACCTAAATTTGTATAGAGGATTAAAACAAAGGTTGGGAAGCTTATGAGATAGCTCAGTGGTTAGGAGCACACACTGCAGAGGACCTGAGTTCATGTCCCAGCATCCACATGGTGGCTCACAGCCACTGATAACTTAAGTTCCAGGGATCCAGCACCCACCCTCTTCTAGTCTCTGCCGGCACCAGGTATACACATGATACACAGACATACATGCTGATAAAATACATATACACATAGAATAGAAAAATTTAAGATATATGACAAACTGTTAACATGCTTTTTTAAAATTAAAACATATGCTCTGAAAAACCAATAAAACAAAAAGTTTAAATGTGTGTCTGGCCCCAATCCAGAGAGACTCTGAACAACTCCCTTGACATATTACTATTTATGTACATGAATAGGCATATCATACATATATTATAAGCATGAATCTAAATGCATTTAAAAGTAAATTACATCTAAATGCCTGTGGTGGCTCACTCCTTTAATCCCAGCACTCAGGAGGCAGAGGCAGGGGAATCTCTGTGAGTTCGAGGCCAGCCTGGTCTACAGAGCGAGTGCAAGGATAGGTTGCAAAGCTACACAGAGAAACCCTGTCTCAAAAAACAAAAACAAAAAAGAAAAATAATAATAATCACCAAGAACTACTTTACATTGAGAAATAAAAATTCCAGTGTTCACTGTCTTCTGTAGAGTAAGCTGTCTCATTTGAATGTAAAGTATCTATTATATTAAATTCAATATTTAATATTCTTAATATATCATTTTAATAAGAAAAAATAAAACTGTTGAGGGCTTTTTGTTTTGCTTTATTACTTGTTTGTTTCTTCATTATCATCTCTTGCTATGTATCCCAGGAACTCAAGATCCTCCTGTCTCTGGCTCCTGAGTGCTAAGATTACCAGTATATGCTACCACAACAGAAACAATAAAGCTGTTTTTAGAGGGAGTAGGAAACAAATAAGAGCAAAAAAGTAAATTACTTAAGCAAGCCAAGCTATGCTGAAGCTCTTTGCTCCGGGACACTTGGCTCCACAGTGTATATGTAAAGAAGGAGCATGGGAAGGATGCTGCATCTACATTGAGAAGCATATCCATTGCTGAATTGAAGGGAAAAGAAGATACTGTCTATGTAGAAGTTGAGAGGCGTATTTATTTACGTACCTTTTACACATATGATGTATAATATATATATTTTAGTTTTACCCCACTGCTTTTGTGACTCCTGCCCAAGGAATATTGTGAAAACTAATCTGCCTATGCCTTTAGTGGGCCATAAAAAAAAATTCTTTGGCCGAGCGTTGGTGGTGCACGCCTTTAATCCCAGCACTCGGGAGGCAGAGGCAGGCGGATCTCTGTGAGTTAGAGATCAGCCTGGTCTCCAAAGCGAGTGCCAGGATAGGCTCCACAGGCTCCACAGAGAAACCCTGTCTCGAAAAAAAAAAAAATTATCTTGTCTGGCAGTAGGTCAAAGGACCCAATTCCCTCCGGAGAGGCCCCACCCCATGCCCTGCAGGTAGACATGACACTCCAGAGGCCAGGAAGACTCTAAAGAACCCAACTGACTCTCCCACTAAGTCTGTTAACAAGCGTGCCTATCCAATGAAGTCTCCGTAAAATCAAAACAGACATAGCTTTGGGGAGCTTCCTAATAGCCAAGCATGTAGAGATTACCTGGTGTTGCTCAGCCTGCTGAGCCCATTCAGCACAGCAGGGTGTGCTCAAAGAGGGCATGAAAGTTCCTCAACGCCCCACCTCGGCCCCCTCGCTTTAATCCATTGCCTTTGCAATATCCTTTATTATAAACTAGCACATGTAGTTCTTCCCCCTGGGTTCTGGGAGCCACTGGGGTAAACTGAACCAAATGGAGGCTGTGGAAACCTGATCTTCAGCCTGTTGGTCAAACAGGTAGAAGCCTTGAGACAGGTATCTAGAGTGGGGACTGAGCCTTCAGACTATAAGATCGGATCACCTCCAGGATGACAGTGTGACAACTGAACTGAACCAGAGGACCCTGGCTAGTTTCCACCTGAGAAGAGATTGCTTAGTTGTTATGGGGGGAAAATCCTCTCATGTGATGGGGTCAGAAGTCTCCTGTATTATGACACAGTCACACTGCAATATGATAGCAGGGATTCTGACGGAGAACACTCATCCAGCTACAGAAACACTTCAAGCATCAGTCATACATAGCATACCCTTTGACACCCTTCACCTGGAAATCCCATAGGAGGAAGGATAGAAAGCCCTGGAAGCAGAAACCCTGAGGAAAACTGAGCTGGGCAGGAGTCTCTGTAGAGCAATGTAACAAGTCTCACCCCAGACCTCCCAGCTCCTGGATGTCAACACATTACTGTGACTAATAAAAGTCTGCTGGTGTAATTCCAAGTCAGATTCACAACCAAACAAGGGCAACACCAATGGATGTGCCAAAATGGGCGAGAAAGTCCTATGAGGCCAGACACATGGGAAAGATTGCTGGTACCCACTGAGAGAGCAGGTCTGGGGTAGTAGTGGGTAGGACCGAGTGCCAGATTACAATAAGAGGAAAGAATGGCTAGGTACTCTGTTCTTTGAAGACTGTCATAATGTAAAATGTCTTGTAGAACTGGGGCTGTTGGGTAAAACCACTGGCTGAGCAAGTCTGACGACCTAAGTTAGATTTCCGGAACCATGAAACAAGCCGGATGTGTGCCATACATCTGAGATCTAGTACTCCCAGAGAGATGGGAGGCACTGATTGGAGAAATCCCCAGAAGCTTGCCTGCCAGCTGGCCTGGAGAATACTGCATAGTAAAGACAAAAGAGATCCTGTGTTTCAACAAGGTGAAAGGTGAAGAGCCCCCAAAGTTGTTCTCTGACCTCTACACTCATATGCCCTTACACACATGAATACATACACTAAGAAAATAAAGATTTCTTCTGTATAAAAATGTCTGGAAATCTGGGAGAAATGGCAAGATAGTTACAACACTGCCCCAGTGACTGAAGTCCTGCAGAAATGTCTCTGTGAAGAGAAAAGCCACACAAGAACATAAAAGAGGTTGGGTATGTCTGAATCAGGTGGATTGCAGACAAGCACTCATGCAACAATAGCTCTAACAACAAAGCAGGACAGGGTGTCCTTGCCTGGCAGTGGTCCCATTTGGAACTTAAGAGCACACAGAATCCCAGGCCCTACTCCAAACTCCCTGAGTCAGAAACTCAGATGGGCCATGAATCTGTGCTAACCTCAGCTCCCCAAGTGACAGGGAGATGTGAAGAATCTCTCTCATTTCTACTCTGCGGAGCTAGTTCTCACTTTATGGTTGTGCTAAATCTTTTTACCCAGTGCTAAACCAGTGTTCAAAATAAAACTCACCTTAGAAGAAAGACACAAAGCTTTCCAAGGACAGAAAATGCAGTTTTGCACTAAGGTTTGGAGTGATCACTGAGCAATAAGAGTGCTGGCTACTCTTCCAGAGGACCCATGCTCAATTCCCAGTACCCACATGGTATTGACAGCCATTGTAACTCCAGTTCAAGGAGATCTGATGCCCTCTTCCTACCTCTGTGGGCACCAGGCACACACATGGTACATACAGACATACATGCAGGCAAAACACCCATACAAATAAAATAAAAGTTAAATAATTCACTTACGCTGCTTGAAGACGTCAAGGGCTCTCTTCAAGGTACTGAAAAACAAGTACATATGCAATTTCAGTCCTGGAAATCATCCATATAATTGTATTACAATGTTTTCATGTGCTTCTCTTTGCCTACATCTTAACATGAGGACACTAGATTCACTTTTGCCCTTGAGCTTCAGAAAACAGTAAAAGACTGGAACCCCTTAAGATCAACCTCCTCAACCCCAGGCATAAACAGTTCTACACTGTCTGCCCTGGGTCGAGCAAAACGTAAAAACTCTGTGTTTTATCTTCCCCAGTGATAATATAGGAATTTGACCCCTTTCTCATAAGAACATGTTGTCATTTGAATATTAAAACAGGACAACTAAAGAGAGAGCTCAAATCCTAGTTTGCACTTTGGGTGACCCCCCCCTCTGTGTGTGTGTGTGTGTGTGTGTGTGTGTGTGTGTGTGTGTGTGCATAGATGTTGAGAGAGTATCTCAATTAGCCAGGCTTGCTATACAGCTTGAGCCAGCCTTAAACTTCTAACCCTTCTGCTTCCACTTCCCACGTGCTAGGATTACAGGCATGCATCACCATGCCCCAGCTCAAACCCTGGCTCTTAACTGACTCTTTTTTCAGAAAATCATCATATTTTTTCCTGATATTGAGTCTAACTCTGTAGCCCAGACCGCCCTGTTATTCAACATGTAGACCAGACTGACCTTGAACTCAGAGAGATCCACCTACTTCTGCTTCCCGGGTGCTGGGATTAAAGCCATTTACTTACTGATCAGAAACTATAGGTCAAGCTTATTCCTTTTTAAATTTTTATCTTAGAATTGAAAAATAAAATTGTGCCATTTACCATCGTATTACATGGTATTTTGAAATCTGTACGAATTGTGGAATGCCTCAGTAAAGTAATTAACGTATCCATTGCCTTACATCCTTACCACTGTTTTGGAGTGGTATACTTAGAATCTGCTTTCAGTTCTTTTTAAGAAAAATGCATTGTGCCAGGCAGTGGTGGTGCACACCTTTATCCCAGCACTCAGGAGTCAAAAGCAGGAGGATCTCTGTGAGTTCGAGGCCAGCCTGGTCTACAGAGTGAGTTCCAGGACAGGCTCCAAAGCTACAAAGAGAGCTGAGCTGGTGGGGGGGGGGAGGGAGAATAATGCATTGCTGCTAATGATAGTCACATTTATATCATGTGCTATACAATATATCTCTTGAACTTATTTCTCCTTACTAAACCCTTAATACCGTTTTTCTTCTCTGTTTTCACGTATGTTGTATGTGTGTGAACATGAATGTCTCCACATGTGTGGGCATGTATGTGAGTGCTCATGCATGTGCATGTAGAGGCCCAAGGTTGAAGTTGGTGTTGGGAATTACCCTCTTCAACTTCATTCTCTGAGGCAGGGCCTCTCAGTCAAACCCAGAGCTCACCGATACGGCTAGCCTTACTATCCAGTTAACTCTGGGGATCCTGTCTCCACCTTCTAAGGCCGGAATTACAGGCAGGCTTCCATGCTCATCCAGCATTTATACAGGTTCTGGGGGACTGAACAAAGGTCTCTGTGCTTGTGCAACACATGGTTCAACCACGGAATCATCTCCCTAGCTTTGAAACTATAGTATCTTTTGACTAACATCCCCCTAATCTTGGCCCCAGTCCCTGAAGGTTTTATTCACATCTGATTCTTTTTCACAATTTCTAGGACATTTCTAAAAATCTCCTCACTTAAGCTTTTAATTCACTCTTCTATAAGCATACCCCATATACTCGAGGTTTTTAGATCTGTTCATTACAGTATTTTAAAAAATCTATGTATATCTAATTCTGCTATCTATTGCGTTGTGGAATTGTATTCACAGTAACCTTTGTGTAGGTGGGTATGTATGTGTGTGTGCCTGTGTGTGTTCTTGTGTATGTATGTGACTGTGTGGGTGCATGTGTACATGAATACATGTTATGAACTAAATGTTTGGTTTCACTGTGTTTCTGCAGCAAGGGTCTGTGTTTGTGTCTGCTTTACTGACAGTCAGTAAAGCAGACACAAACACAGTGACCTTGTCCACGGCCACTTTAAAATAAATCTGTAGCTTAGGATTCTTCAGACTGTACTGAAAAAAAATTGTGCTAACTTAGAACCACAAATCCTGTGTCCCATTAAGATACATGAAAAGACCCTAAGAAAGACACACATGGATCCACCTAGGAAGGGGGAAAGGCAAGACCTCCTGAGTAAATTGAGAGTAGGGGAGAAGAGTGGTAAGGGAGAGGGGAGGAGGAAAAAGAAGTAGGGGAAAATGTATAGCTCAATTTAAAGAAAATGATGATTTTTTTAAAAAGTAAGTCAAACCTTAAAAAAACATCTATGAAAAGACACAGACTTTTAACAATTGGCAACAAGGAAGAAAAAATGTTCTTTCAGTCTTACATGCTGAAACCACAACTCAATTGTATTTGCTGAAATAGTGGGGCATTGGGCCACAGTAGCCAGCCTAGGAGGCAGAAGGACACTGGTACCTACTTGATCTCGGACTGTCCACATGGCTTCTTCTTGGAGAGACTCAGCAGGTCTTTGCCATACTTCTCCTCAATTGATGCCCTAGAGGGAAAAGGAGAGAAGGTCATAGGTCCTTCATACAGTTCTTAGCTAAGACACATAAGACTTGGCCCTGCATCAAAGTCATTCATCTGCAGACAGACCCAAGCCTATTGCCATGCACAAAACTTAAGCCAAAATGGATCAAAGACCTCAACATAAATCCAGCCAAACTGAACCTATTAGAAGATAAAGTTTGGAAATACCCTTGAATTAATTAGTACAGGAGACTGATTCCTGAACATTACACCAGTAGCACAGACACTGAGATCAACAATTGATAAGTGGGACCTCCTGAAACTGAGAAGCTTCTGTGAGGCAAAGGACACAGTCAGCAAGACAAAATGGCAGCCCACAGACTGGAAAAGATATTCACCAACCTCACATTTGACAGAGGGCTGATCTCCAAAATATACAAAGAACTCAAGAAGTTAGTTTCCAAAACACCAAACAATCCAATTAAAAAGTCGGGTACAGAACTAAATTCTCAATAGAGGAATCTAAAATGGCTGAAAGACACATAAGAACGTGTTCAACATCCTTAGCCATCAGGGAAATGAAAATCAAAACAACTCTGAGATACCATCTTACTCCTGTCAGAATGGCTAAAATCAAAAACACCA